GAGCACTCTATAGAAAGATCTTTAAAAATTATCTGTAAAATGTAGCGGTACCATTCAGAGACAAGTTTTGCTGATTTTGTTTTCAAACTAAAAAAAAGTGGGTTTATTGCCTCTGTTCAAAAGTTGATAATTTGTGTATGTGTGTGGCAGTGTTCAATGAGTATTTGCATTGCATATTTAAGAGCTTAATAAGAGCAGTTTATTTAATCTTTCAGAGTATTTTGTTTTTTAAATTAGTGTAAAATGATAAGCGTAAATAAGTGTACATTTCTCAGAAGATTATTTGAAGTATTTGTTTACAACAAAACATTGATTTATTTGCGAATATGTCAATGTTGAAATTACTATGCTTTCGTTATCATCATTGTATTGAAATCTACATATAATGTCAATTGAAAAATGCATTGTTGATTTAGTAATTGGTGGCTGTAACATAAAAGTTGGTTAAGGTTAAAGAGTAAATTAAAACTTAGAAGATTAGAATTTTATATTATGTTTTAAGAATTGTTGTCGGCATCGCTCGCAAAAATCGAACTGTTTGACAACGCATTTAGGTAAGTTGCGGAATAACAATTAGGGCAACTGTTATTTTGCATATCTTTTCATCTGATACAGACAGCTTAGAAATTCTTAAAGAATTATCTTCTTTCTTGATAAAGTTTCTATACTGTTAGTTTCTATGCTACCACTGGTAAAAATAAAATCATTTTGAAGTCGTCGTATAAAATATTGTAAGTTTTTTTTGTCTTCCAGGAAAAGTTGGCAAATAGTGTTAGTTGCACAACGGCAAAAAACTGAACTATCATTATAATTGCTGTTGAACTCGTGTTCTTTTTCTTGTCCGCTTTCTTGTACTTTTTTCTTTCTTTTTCTTTCTTATCTTTTCCTTTACGTCTTTTTTTCAGTTGTTAAAATGAAAAAATTAGCAAACATGCAATGTTTTCTCTTACGTTTGGTCAGCATTTGCATAATTGATAATTATATGGAAAGAAGGGAAGAGCACATGAAAAATGTGTAAAAAATATGAACTTTTTTTTGAAAATTTGAAAGATGTAAAAGAAAGAACAGAGCAGAGTAAGCAAATAGTGTACATCGAAGTCATACATCTTCTGAATTTTAAAGAAAGCAACTTGGAAGACGTTGCAAATAAATTGTAATAAAAGTGTTCACTATCAATCAGCTAAAGACGATTACAGTTCCAGTGGTTGGTTTTCCTACTAGAGAATTATTAACAGCGATGAAATAAAGAAATGTTATTTTTGTGAAGCAATTTTACGTAAGTAAAAGATGTGTATTGAATGCTGACAAATAGTTGCTAGTAGCCTGTCTTGTATTAATTGTAAGGCAAGTAATCAGAAACATTTCAGCAAACGTTAGGTAAAAAATCCAAATTTTCTATTGTCAAAGAAGAAGATGAAAAAAAAAAGATCTTTTTTGAATGACTTGTCGTAATATTCGACTTTTGAACACTACGACTGACTGCACACATAACACGCACACAATTCGTAACACAGTTTTTGTAAAACGATGTGGAAGCGATAAAGCAGGCATTCACAAGGTTTTATAATGTTTGAATAGATGACGATGCTATAGCGTCAAAAACCATTGTTATTTTTTTTTTTTACTGTTACAAAAAGGTTCTTATGCGAGACAGTATCGAACAGGTAGAGAGTTATTTTTAAGCTTCAGTTTCTTGTCAGACGTGTGCGAATATTAATCAGCGGTACGGAGCAACTCTTTGTCAGTGCTCTAATGCTAAAGTGTGCCTGCTTAAGAGCAACATTTTCAATTAGCAACATTTAATTCCTGATCACTGTTTTTTGTACCTCTTTTTTTCTAAATTATTATTATTTGTTTATCATAAAGCTAACAGAGTACTACTGATGAATATTACAAGGCATGTGCTTTTGTTTGGGATATGCTGGAACAGTTACTTTGATGAAACTGCATGTTTTATGCAATTTAGAAAGACATGGTTAGTGGAGAATTGTTATTTTCAAGCAGGTGATTGAATAATGAAACTATCAGAATATTTTATTAATGTCGGTAAACAGTGATTCACTTCGCGTGATTAAAACTCTCTATTGTTGACGCTTCTCCACTTTATGGGACATCTTGAGCGTACCCAACATACGCATCAATGAATATTTCGAGCTCTTGTTTTTCGCAACATATCGACAAACTACGACTAATTCACCGTTTCTTTGACCACTAAACATAACTCCTGTTGTGCTTAATTAAAATTTTTTCGCAGGTTCTAATTCATTTTGATTTAGCCTAATTTGGTCACCTCAGTGCATGATATGAAGTAGCTTGATCGGACGGCGAAATCAAAAATGAAAAATAATGGAATTACCGGAAATCCAACCAAGGCAACGAGTTTTACGAAATAAACCAAAAGGTACATTTTTTTGAGCAAAAGAGAAAAACATCAGCGATGACAAATCCTGTAGTTTCACTGTGAGAAGGAAATTAGCAGTTGTTAGGGTAGACGGGGAAAATGCTAAAGTCGGTGATTCTGTTTTCAGTAATGGCATAACTGTTATCAAGTAGATTTTGAAAAAGAAATTTATTCGCTTTTTCAGAATCAAAATGGCGTCAACAAACTTTGCCAGCATATCGACCCATCTTAACTGGTCGACTTGTGTTGGCGATATTCCTGGTGCAAGGCATATTATTTATCGCTATAGGAGTAATGATAAAGCTTTTTGACCACTGTAAGTGTGAGTAGCGTAATCTATATATAGCATCTATTTTTTGTTCGATAATAATAGTAGGAATACTGCTAAAAAGGTGAAAATGCATTGAGCAGAAAATAGGCTAAGTCTGGATTTTATTGCACAATTTACTGTGCCACAACAACTTTTCAAAATCGGTTGTAGCAAAGGAGGAAGCTGTGGACTATACGTGCTGTAATCCAGAGCCGCCATCTGCTGCTCCGGGCTGTAATTCAACTGCATTTGTCCCATTTATTTGTAAAATTCCTGTAGTTCTCAATGAAACCTATGAAGTTAGTAGCTTCTTTTGTTTTTGTTATTATTTGAAAATAAATGCACCTGTAGCATACATTTATTAAGAAACTTTAACACAAAAACTGCTTTTTTTGATCTTCTGTAACTATAATTACTTCTTTTGCTCGCTATAAAAGTAGCAGTTTTGACAGCTACTTACCAAAAAAGTTTTAAGGGTGATGTCAAGTTCCAGTACGGCATAGAATATTTTAACCAAAACAATCGGCAGTATATAAAGTCTAGAAACGATATACAGCTGACTGGTGATTTACAGTCAACTGGTGACTGCGGCAAATATGCAACATCAAATGAATCTGGAGTTGAGCTTCCAATTGCTCCATGTGGTTTAATGGCAAATTCAATGTTTAATGGTTGGTAATGAATATAACAAAATAGCTCTGACAGTATTGAAGAAGTTAACTTTTGTCAGCGCTGTTTACTTAATAAAAAAATGGATTTAAAAAATTTTAAGTACTTTTAATGATTGAGTAAATATTAAGCTGTAAAAGACCAATCCGCAACCTCTGAAAATATCAGTTACCTTCTAGACACTTTTCAACTGTTTTATGAAACAAAAGGCGTCACTGTACCATTCAGCAGCGATAACGTTATTTGGTCAGTGGAAAGGAAACGGAAATTTATCAATCCAAAATACGATAAAACAAAAAATGAAACACTTTGTAGTGCTTTTGAAGTCAGTTTTTTGTCCAAATTTGATGCTTAACGACTTTGAAAGACAAATTTTTTTTGTTGTACTAAAGCTAATATTATATATTGAGCTAACTGATTTGCTGTTGAGACACTGCTATTAAATTTTTTTGTTTCATCGATTTAGGATTGTACATCTGATAGTCAACCAATTTAGGGTACAGCAAAGCCGCTCGATTGGGAACGGCCAGCATGTGAATTGGGGAACGATGAAGACGGCTATGCTTTCGAAAATGTCGATTTTATTGTTTGGATGAAGCCTGCAGCTCTGCCAAACTTTCGGAAAACTTATAGGACCCTGAAAAGATCCAAAACTGGAGTATTCACCAATGGTCTACCACAAGGGAACTACACTCTGACAGTGCATTACAGTTAAGTTCGCTTTGGTTATTGTTACTATCACCACAAACTTGGTTCTTGCTTTGAGTTTCGTATCTTTTTATTACCTTCTTTTGAGTCATAAATCAGGCGCTTTCAGTTTGATCTACAAACTTTGCTACATTATAAAAGAATATCTTTTTTCTATCAAATAATTTTCCTTACCTGCAACTTCAGAACGCTGTAGAAAAAAAATAGAAAGATGTAAAATAACTTTACTTTTTTTAGACTACCCGATCCTTCAAGTTAGTGGCTACAAAAGTAAGAAGTTTTTTGTTATTGTTAAGGAGGGTATTATTGGACCAAAAAATGAATTTCTTCCATACGCTTTCATCACTTTTGGGTCTCTGTGTACAGCGACTGCTATCATACTGTTTGTTATGCAGTTGAAGCAACGCTTTCTGAGTTACTTCTAATAAACATTTGGTTGCTATTTTTGACTTTAAACACTACCGGAAATAAATGTGTTCAGAAATTAACGGCTTTGTTACAAATTGTAAATGATCTTTTTAAGTTAAAAAATATTATTATTGTTCAGAAAGTTTACTGTAATCTTCAGATACTCTTAAGATACAAGCTTGTCTTCAACCAGTGCCATGAAATTAGGAAATACCGTTGTAAAAAAATACTGGTTCGGCAGTATTAAAACTCATCATTTTGAATATATTCAAATAACAAGCGAGTTTGAAGCACTCACCTGGTCTTTTAAAAATCGGGAGATTTATTTTTTCAAATCTGGTACCTGAAATTACTGTGCTATTGTGATGTGTCTCAAGTGGTATTTTTCAATAAAGAAAAGTAGTTTTTTTTAAAGCTTCAAGCCTCTTTATTTTAAAAGAAGATTGGAATAAGTACTCCAAAATGGTGGTATTCAGTTAGTTACCAGACATGTGAATTACATACGATCAGGATAACTAGTATCGTACCCTCATAATACTGTAGAAAAACTTCTGTAGTTGTAAAAAACAGTTTTTAAATGGGCATAATTTTGACAAAGCACAGAAAACATTTTTCAGCTTTTTGTCTTCTCCTCTTTCTAAATATTACTAGGTATAAGCAGTAAACTTTTCCAGATTTGAAACTTTTTTCAAAGCTTCTAGCAGTACACTATTTGAGTAAAAATTTTTTTGACTTTGTGAGATCGTTTAAGTTGTTCTCTGCATGCGTTTCTATAATTCTTAGTTCAGTTTTAGAGTTTGTTATAAAAGTTACTTAACTTAAAAGAATGCATAAATCGTTTTTGGGCTTGTGAGAGCCTGAGATAAGCCAAACAGAGTATTTACTAGGTTGAAACCATAAAATTTTCTGTAAAAAACCGGAAAAAAACGGAAGTTACTCATGTATTTGACAGCGTCTTCGAGGTTGTATGATCTGTTAGTTTTACGTGACCGCTTTTTTATTTACTAAATGTGCAAATCTTCTTTTTTTTAATTTTATTTTAATATTGATTTAACAATAATTACTTCTTTTAGAAATTTGCCGATCTCTTGAACGTACAGCTGCTTCTCAAGGTCTTTTTCCTTGAACAAAAATGAGTGCTTTAGGAGGGGCATAGCTTAGGGTAATCAAACAGTTTTTTAATCTTGACTCGTCAAGGTGATCATTGGTGGTTTGCGACGCTTACACACTCAGAAGTATAAGAAATAGTGAAAATCAAGATCTTATAAAACCAGGTAGGATAGCGTCAATTTATTCACAAAAATTCGGCTACTTGTCGCGCTATCATAGAAAAAGTTCGAGCAGCCAGTTTATGAGGCTTCTATGATAACTCTTCTTTATGCATGCTAACTGCTTTTCAAATAGGTTTTTTATGGTATTTCTCTCTCACAATAACAAACTTTGGTTTTTCTGGCTCATTTTGCAAAGTATCTTCATACTAATGCTGAGTTACGAAGAAAGCGCTCATGTATATTGTTACGAATTTCATCGATATGTTAGAAAAGTCATAAATATTATAAAGAATAGACTGTGGTCTATCCCGAAGGGAATCCCTTTCAGGTCAGGCAGAAGATTGTGTTAGGGTGGAGCAGCACACATAAAGCGGGGTTCAGTGATCGCTGTGCTCGTTGCTGTCACAATCGTTACATCATTTTTGCTACGTCACCTTCTACGAAAGAAACGAGTTATTCGTTTAAAATTCTGATTCATTCCCTAAAATTTTTGTTTTGTTATAAGGCCTGCCCGTTTGACAGCTTACAGATTTATTGCCTAAGAAATAGATTTATTTTTCGCTTTTGCATTAACCAATAATTCTAAAGTTCAAGTTCAGTGCATCTGTTGTACTGCTCAAAGTAAAACATTACATCGGTAACTTCAAATCGCACACTTCTAGCGAGTAAAAGGTTTTAGTAGAGCATTTTCAAGGAGTTAGCAGGAAAGACAGTTGTAGAAGGAAATTATAAGCACAGAGCTAAAGGTGCATTATTTTAAAAAGCCTGAGCGTTTTGAATTGAATCAGAGGTTAAATGACTGGAATTTTTTACACGAAAAAAAATGTATCGTGGGAACCTACGTATCGCCTTTTGCCGAACTCTGACCTAGTATATGACGGAGACGACATGCATTTATAAATATTTAAGGAGTCGTCTTTCAAACTTAGTAACTTCAACTAGAAGCTGTCTAGAAGCGTTTTTTCTAAAAGAACACTGCAGTCCTAACAGTTTCTAATTCCTTATGAAGAAAAACTCCGGGGATAAAACTATGGTACCATCTAACTGCGGTGATTAGGAAATTCACTTTTTTTAATGTATAAAATGGTTTTACAAAAATGTATGAAATTTTTTAGCTTTTGCAAGTTTATATAAAATTATCAGTTGCAACGGTAAAGCGACTTTATGTGTGAGGCAAAAACACAATATAATCCAAAAAAAAATAGAAATAAAAAGTTGATTAATTCAAAATATAGTGCAATAATAGCAATCAGAATAAGGTTAACATCATTCAAACTTCAATACGTACAAATACTTCCAGCAGAAAGTGTCACTAAAAAATGATACAAACCTCTGCTTCCAGTTTTACACTGTTTTTGAAAGATCAGCTTATAAAACAACACACGTTTTGAAAACGTACAGTCTATAAAAAAGGAAAATTGAAACACAGTTACCCGAACAATAATCTTTAAATGAATTAATTACTTACATCACCGGATCCCAGCCGTTGGTATACTCGTCACTATATGAACCACAAAAAACTACTCAATAAGCATAAAACACGTCATTCCTACAGAAATTAAAAAAATTACAGAACACATCCTTAAAAAAAAATTTTGCTTTGAACAATGCTCTCACCTTTTTTAGTGCAAAGTTTTTTCATTGAACCGAGTATTAATGGTGGTTTATTAGAAAGACAACAACCGTTCAGCTTATTAGGTTAAGCAAAGACGCTAAATGAAACAATCACAAACCATTCGCCTAAGAGGCAAAGACAAATATTTGCGAAAGGACAACCAAACTGCTCCTTAAACCCTTTTGGCAGCGTAAAAGCAATCTTGCAGTACAAGGCACCTGGCATTTTAGCAATCATACGCTCAAAAAAGAGAGAAAAGGCAACTTTGAACGCCTAACTTTGATGCGATCATCTCGTGGCTACGTTTCAAAAACAAACAGTGAATTGAAAGAAACAAAGTGAACGAGACTAGTAAATAAAGCAATGATCAAGTCGATTATCCTTCAGGTTTTTAAGAGTGTTTCGTGAATGCTTTGCAACACCTTTTTCTCGCCTATTCGACGTCTAACTAATACAGTTACCAAATAAATTCCTCTTCTTTAAATTGATTCCCTAACCGTACCGCTCTTTTTAGTTGTTTCTTTAAGGTCAGTACTCAGGTTTAAAATCTTTGTCAATTTTTTAGGAATGTCTGATAATTTGCAGATTATGAATAAGGTCGACCTCTATCACCTGATGATAAAGTCAAGTAAATAACTGTTTTAATCGCGGATCGACATTTTTATAACTTCGTAAAAGCGACTAAATTTTTATTGAGTTTACTGATCTTTTGCTTCAAAAAATTTTGTTTTACTTTAACAGAGTACAATAGATCTTTAGTTTCTAGCGCCATTGAAGTAAAGAACTGAAGAGGAAGAGAAGAATATCTGTCTAAAGAGCTGCTGGTCGCAAATTTGAAAGTCTATAAGTTTTAAAATCAGATTAGGGTTCGAAATACAAATATGGGAAAAAGCAAGTGCAAAAATTGAATCTGATCTCGTTTAACGATGTTGTACATTGCTCAAGAGTAGGAGTCTTTCTGCCACAATTATTGACAGAAGAACCCCTACGCTTGAGCAACGTACAACACTGTTCTAATTATTCTTTTGAATATTATAACCAATTTTTTGTGGTAATATCTTCACCAAGGTGGTCAAATACTGTTTGGTAAAAGTATGCTGCATGCAGTCTTTCTAATTTGTCGTTTACTCAGCTTCTCCCTAACTTGTTCAAAAAGTTGAGAATGCTTTTGAAAGTGGTGACATCGTTAAACTGAAAAACGGTAAGTATTTCTATTTTTGATAATAATCGCAACAATTTTTAATAGTAGATTTATAGTGTCATTTAGCGAAAGAATGATTGACCTGGTTCTTGTTAACTAGAATCTGCTACTGCACTTTAGAATTGTAATATTAATAGTAAATTTGAACTTTTTTAATAAATTATTTCGCATTCTTAGAGAGGTAATTTTATAACATAATGTAAAATACTCTTTTTGGCAATTTATTCTGAAACAGTTATATGAACTTTGTTTGCTGCTTTTAGTTTTTCCGCTTTTAATGAAGTTTTTATTTAAATATATGGTAAGTGTAATGTCTGAAATTAATAGGATAATTCTATACCTTTCAAGATCACAGGTGGTATGCCATAATTTCTTTAACGTCTTCTAATTTCACTTTTCTTACCAAGGAAAGTGTTGTTGTGGTGGATAAGAATAACAGGTGGAGGACTTTTGAGCGTAGTCGGTTTTCCCAGCTGAAAGTCCTGTGACCAGTTGAGTCTACTCCTCCATAATTTTGCAATTTTAAGCCTTTCTTATCTACAGTCTCCCGCAGTAGATCTGCAAAATTTTCTTTTCCAGAGATGCGGTAAGACTTTACTTCTAGGTCCTTTTCTTATTTCTAATGACTTTAATAGAAGCTTAGAAGAGCTTAGTTAATTTAAAATACAAGTAAAATCTATCTTTATTGTGGTTTTTTCAATTTTTAAGTTAGATTCTTGTTTGACAAACTAAAATTTCTCCACGCACATCTGTACTGAAGACTTCTGAGATCGCTGTTTTTTCACAAGCACTGCTTCTAGACTTGAACGAAAATGAGAAGTCGATCGTTGTTACAGAGCAGCACACGTTTTTTTGTGGCACAACAGAATGAAAATGCATTGTAGATGTATGAAATTGAGTAATCAAAATGCCTTAAATCTAATCGATTTTGGAGAATAACTTCTTAGTTTTTAAAATTTTTCTTTACGTGCTTGCTGGTTCATCTCAGCAAAAGCTTTCAAGACAAAGTCTCCTAAAAAATTACTTTTTTAAGATGCGTGCAAGAGACTCAAGTATTTGGTTGTAAAGGTAATTAAGATAACTTATAGTAATTTCTAAGTTATATTTTTTATCGGTGAAAATCTATGAGAAAAGAGTAAAAAGGTGAGTACGGCGAGTTGTACGCTCATCTTCTTAAGTTACGTAAGCACATCTTAGCGTGCCTTTAGTAAAGCGACATTTTTTTATTTTTAAGTTCTGAAAGAAAATTTTCAACTTGCATATTTTTATTAATAAGCAAAAATACTTTGTTGGCAGTTTCCTATAGTTAAGATATGCAATAGCTTGAGATGATATTAGTGACGATATTTAGTTAAAGCTAAGAAGATAAAACGCTTGAACCAAGAGATTTGCAAATTATTGAAGCTTAATTAGTTCTTTATAATCTTTATACCAGAAGAAGAACGAATAAAATTTCTGTTTTTCTCAGCCGGTCTAATTTCTAAACGAACTTCCACCAACAAGGAAAACTTGTAACATTTCATTCTTGGCTGCAACCCACATTTTACAGATACTATACTCCTGAAAAATTGCTTTTTCCAGGCCTCAACAGTTGTTCGTGATCTTGAGAAAGCCGTTGCGTGCAATTCTGACTTTAGTGACATCTTTCTGTACGGTAATAACTGCTGAGTTATCTAAACAGGTTTGCTGAAAATACGACATTTACTTCTTTCAAAACGCTTTCTAGGTTTTGCTGGTATGCAGTTTGTAATGTGATACTATCAAAACTATTGTTTTTGTCTTGACCTCTTGATCAAATTCTTTAAACCTCTCACAAATGATTTAAAATTATATCCGAACTAAAGGCGAAATTTTATAAATATTCAGTTTTATAAGATTAGTTCAAAAGCATTATGAACTATTTCAAAAGTTGAAGTTCTTCATCGTCCTGGTTTTTTGAAAAGTTATCGGCTTCGACCTTCTTTATATTTTAGAATCTCTTTATAGTTAATGAGTTTTTATAAACTTCCATGATGGTCGAATATCGCTAAATTTAGAAAGTGTATGGGTAGCGTTTTTTCACTGAAAAAAGTTGGTTTAAATCACACAGAGTCCCCTAAACTAGAAGAATTACCTTCACATCGTTTAAAAGTAGGTAGAGGTAATCACTTCCAGTTGATGTAACTGTAGAAACAGCGTCTATAGTACAATAACTTCCTCTTCAGATACTATGGCAACTTGTTTGCTGCAGACAGACTCAAATAGACAGTGGAATATTCTTGCTGCAAATTTGCAACACGCGTTCCTCATTCCTGCAATTTGATTTAACCGATATTATTGGCTGTTTGTACAATAAAAAAATAGCTGCTGGTCAGAAGTGTTTCACTTGTTGATGACTTACGGTGAGTTTTTTGGAAATGTGGGATTTTTACTGACTAGGATACACTTTTAAGGAACTCATGAGTTTGCACATATGCAGCTTAGCAGCTGATTTTAAATAGAGGATGATGAAGGCTTTTTTTTACGAAGCGAATAATATCAGTTCAGAAAACCCTTTTTTGTTTTGAAACAAAAAAAAAAAAAAATAATAGAGAAATGCTATTTTTGATATCTCAAATCAATTCCATCCATTTTATCAGTTTTTTAACTTAAGTGGTCACGCAGTCAAAATGATGCTCCCTTCAGACTACATCCACTGTTCCCGCAGTGCCGTAGCTGACGGGGAAGTAAGCTTAGCAGCGGAGTTTTGCCGCATACTCCTTGAAAAACATTTGGTGCGTTTAAAAAGTCTGCTTTGTTCAACGTTTGAACAAAAGTTTGGCAAAATTGTGCTAATGAATGCTTCCTCGCGCCCTGCATAAAGCTCCCTTAGTATTATATCACCATTAATTTACATGATAAAGCCCAAGGAGGCGTCCTGCAACTTTTTAGACAAATTATTTGCTTCTACAACATTGGTAAGCTTTTTAGATATTATTATCTTCCACATTTTTGCTTCAAAGAAGAAAATACTGCTGGATTTACTTGAGCATAGACTTAGCGTGAGTGAAGACTGGGTGATCGATTGTTGGCTTGCTATATTGTCTATGAAGACGTTAAAATTTTCTTTATATGGTTACAAAATTTGTTCTGAACAATCTTTCTTTCTGCTCTGTTGTTTCCTCCTCCGTTTTGATTTATTTCCTTTCCTGTTTCATGCCAATTTTTTTTTTTTTGTAATTTTTGGAGCACAACCTTTCTGTGTTCTCATTTTGCAACACATTTTTAAGCGCGCTGAATAAACTTTTCATAATTCTTCCGCACCGTTTTTTGATCCCAACACTTTGGATTAAGTTTTTTTATGATGACTTTTTTCCTTTTCACGGCGTCAGTTTGGTGGAATGAATGAAATGATTTTGTATTTTTTAAGTTTTTGGAGCAAAAATACTTGTTCTCTTAAACTCGACTTTTTCCTCCTTTTTTTTTTTTTTTTTTACCTTTTTTGAGGCACATCGTAACATGTAATGGTTGCTTAATTATTCCAGTGCAAGTCTTTTTTTTTCCTTTCTTTTTTTTTGCTTACACTTTGAGCGTCAACTAGGTTAACGGCAATAAAAGAGCTTTTAATTCCTAACGACTTTGTTTTTCTGTGCGCAGTCTCAGTTTTTCAAATTTGAAATTACTACTCACAAAATCGCAATAATAAAACTTGAAATTTTTAATCGTTTTCTTCAATTCACGGTCTTTCATATTTATCTAATGCATTGAAATTATATATAATTTTTTACTTTCAATAATGTTTCATTTTTGGCAGACATCCGACAGCGTTACAGCAGTTAGTTTTGCCGATGAGACTATGCCAAATGGAACAACAACGTTCACACGTTCAGTAAATGATAGATCAAGGTAAATAACACTGTCGTTTTGCACTCCAAAGCGTGTATAATTTGAAAATCGCTGTTCCTTTTTTATCTTTTTTTTTTTTTTTTTATAAATTTTGAAGGCAAAATTCTCTGCCAGGTAATCTTCTTTCTTTTGAAAAGCCAAAATATTGGTTATTCTGGGTAATTTTGGAAAAAATATTGGAAAATATTGACGCATATAAATCCTGTGAGGGCATTTTTTTTTCCCAGTTGTTAAGAGTGTCATCGATTAGTTTCAAACGGATGTATAGGATGCAAAAGATGTATTTTCTTAAGAGCAGCTGTTTAACAATCTGATTTAAAGAAGTTTATTTTTTTTTTTTTATGGCTATTAATTATGTTATGTTAAAAACGAAAAAAAACTTTTGAACTTTTGTTCTTTAACAAGTAGTACTTTTGTTGTTGTCTTTTCGTTGCAAAATTTCGTTCTTCAGATGAATAGATAGACAAAAATATGAATGAATAAATGTGTATATATATATGTGTATATACATATATATGTATTCATTTCTTATGACAAAAATTTGGCTTTTGATATATATGGGTTGTGTATGTGCGTTTGTGGTGTTGCTGGACGGGTCAGCTGCCGAGGTAAAAAATAGTGTTATATCGGTGTGGGACTTAGATCTGTTAGCGCTCCGCGGGTGGTCCTGGTGGACACCGGTCAATTTTGATTTGTTAAGAGGGGTGGTGCTAAAGACTATTACGGTGACTATCAGTCAAAAAAAGTGCTAAAAGTTTATTCCTGCTTTATGTCTTTTCTAAATCAGAAGCTTTTTTGTTTATATATATATATATA